TAAACACCAGAGGCTCAGCCTCAAAACTCACGCCTACATGTCACCACAGTAGGACAAACCGACAGACAAGTTTGTCTTGCTGTTGGAGACCTCTCGTATCACCCCCACCTGGGTCCCTGTGGCTGACTGTTCCTCTGTCTGGCTTCCTGGCTTTTGTCCCTTTCTCCTGCTCTTCCGGCCTGCTACTCCGGGCAGGCCTGAGTTTCCTCTCCTCACCTAATCCCTTCAGCTGATTGCTCTTCCCTCTGGCTTCCTGGCTTTTAATCCCCTTTCTCTTGTTCTTCCTGCCTGCTACTTTGGGCATCCCTCAGTTGTCTCTCCTCACCTGTAACCCTGGGGCTGACTGCTTATCTTACCATGGTGACTTTATCAGCATGATATTCCAAAGTCATTGTCAGCATAGTTGCAGCCTCGAACACCGTTTTGTAATTAGTTTCAGAGAGTTTCATCAGGAGATGCCACACAAAATTAGTCAGCAAAGATGGCATTAAGCTTTCTCCTACATTCTGAAAACAAAAGGGAGAGCTGTGACCTCAGACCTCACCTACAACAATATAAAAGAAATATAGCTAAAATTGAAGCATCTAAAGGGGAAGTTGAGGGCCACTCAGGGCTGCATTATGATTTTTGTGGGCTCTAAGAACCTTAGCCTTCATGGGTCCTCTCTCCATAAAAATGTATTGAAAGTTATATTTTACAACTGCTTTGGTATTAAAAAAAAAATGTTGCCTTTGAGTTGACTCTGATTCATGGCAACCCAGTGTGTATCAGAGTAGAACCGTGCTCCATAGGATTTTCAATGGCTGATTTTTCAGAAGTAGGTCACCAAGCCTTTCTTCTGAGATGCCTCTCAGTAGACTCTAACCTTAAGAGCTGGGAGTGTATATAAAAACCAAAAAACCCAAACTCACTGCCATGGAGTTGAATCCAACTCACCAACTCACCAACTCATAGTGACCCCCATTGGTCTTCCAAGACTGTAAATCTTTATGGAAGTAGATTGCCCCATCTTCCTTCCACAGAGGGAGATATATATATATATATTTTAAAAAGCAGTTAAAACATTCTCATGGGTCCCTACAAATTTTGTGTCTTTGAAACACTGTGTCTCCTATATCTGTGTCTCCTAGATTAGTCAGCTTTGAGGACATGGATAAAGAACATGTTCTTTGAAAAAGGTGAGAGAGTGTAGAACTATAGAGCTTTACGTTTCTCCATGAGGGTTGCGTCAGTGCAAAAACCATTTACTTAGTACTGGGGTGTATCATAAAATTAAAACTCTTATTTATTTATTTATTTTGTTTATTTAACAGATATCTTAAAGAAAATCTAAATCATGATATTATTAGGATATTTGCTGAGTAAGTTATAATAGTATTGAAAAGCCTATTAATTGATGGCTCAGTTAACTTTACTAAATAATCATAAGTTTTCCATCAAAAAGAAGCATAACAATTAGGAAGCACCTACCTCATTTGCTTTCTATAAAGATTAAATAAAATAATATAAATTGCTATGTTTGGGAAGCCAAATGCTTTATATTTCATTTACCCTTTGTTCCTCTGGACTTAAAAAAAAGGAAACCTATTTATTGAAAGTAAGCTTTGTTACAATAAGTTACCACTAAGAGTAATAATACATATTAAGCAAAAGTCATAGGAAAGATGGAGCTAAGTTACCTGAGCAATTTTACTTTTGTCTCGTTTCAAGATCATGGGAAGAAATTCTGTCTCAGGATGAGAAGTTGTGTTACTACTTTCAAGCTTCTGATAGTTTTTGAAAATATCTTCTGCATTAAGGAAAGAAGTTAAGGTTTTTATTTGATCACCAGTTCCTTCTATGGTATTGCTATTTCCAATTTCCTCTCTCTGCCCAATTCTGGAGATCTGGAGTTTTCTGATTGTTTAAGACTCTGCTCATCATTTAAACAAATGCAACACACTGCTGTCCAGTTGGATCCGACTCATAGCGACCCCTCCTTGGGTTTCCGAGGCAATATCACTACAGAAGTAGATTGCCCAAACTTCCTTCTGAGGAGTGACTGGTGGGTTTAGACACATGAATATTATGACTGCACAGACCCAGAATTCTAATGTGTTTAAAAGGCTTATGTGAAATATGAATGAAGAACATAGAAATTTTAAAAAGGTAACCAGATACCAAGTAGACTTAGGCCATAAAATTCATTCTTCAGTGTACTGGAATACCTGCTGCTAAATTGGAGAGTCTCCTGGTAGGAGCCCCAACTTGGAGGTATTTTGAAAAGAGTTTGGGGAGTGGAATACCAGGATACCCAGAAGCTCTCAACAGAAGTTTGAGGTTCAGATGCCTGTTATTCCAGAGAAGTTGTGGGTTTTAAATGTTTTCTTTCCATTTGTTAGTTTTGTCTTTGTTAACAGCGATATAGAGCTATAATGGGCATTGTTGTTGTTGTTGTTATTTGCCGTCTAGTCACCCCCGACTCATAGCGACCCCTCCTTGGGTTTCTGAGGCAGTATCACTATGGAAGTAGGATTGCCCCATACAACACATTTAAAGTATACATTTGAGAAGTTAATATGTATGAATATGCCCTTGAAAACATCGCAGCCAAAACAAGTGAACATATCCATTAGCCTCCCAAAGTTTCCTCATGTCCTTTTGTAATCCTTCATACCTATTGCCTCTGTCCTCTTCCCTGCTCCCATATCCCAAAGTAACCACTAATCTGCTTTCTGTCACCATAGATTACTTTGTATTTTCTAACTTTGTAAAGCAGAGTCATACAGTATGTAGTATTTTTTGCTTGACTTTTATTCAGCAAACTTATCTGAGATTCATCCATGTTGTTTCATGTGACAATAGTTCATTTCTTTTAATTGATTAATAATATTCTATTGCATGTATGCATATGTTGTTGTTGTTGTTATATGCCGTCGAGTCGGCCCCGACTCATAGCGACCCCTCCTTGGGTTTCCGAGGCAGTATCACTACGGAAGTAGGATTGCCC